CTTTTTGATTATAATAATAATAATGGAACAATCTGTCTTTGTCCATCTTGTCAATTCCTCGCAGTATTTCGTATGTCGTTGTTATGTCTCCTCTAACCATTCTGTCCTCCAGTATCGTCAGGCCGGTTTCCCTTAACCTTTCTTCGTGGGACAAGTCCCTTAGCTCTGGGACTAGTCTTGTTGCAAACCTTTGCACTTTCTCTAATTTCTTCACATGCTTGACCAGGTGTGGATTCCAAACTGGTGCTGCATACTTCAGTATGGGCCTGATGTATATGGTGTACAAAATCTTGAACGATTCCCTACTGAGGTATCGGAACGCTATTCTCAGGTTTGCCAGGCGCCCATATGTTGCAGCAGTTATCTGATTGATGTGCGCCTCAGGAGACGTGCTCGGTATTATACTTACCCCAAGATCTCTTTTCTTGAGTGAGGTTTGCAATCTTTGGCCACCTAGGCTATGCACTGTCTGCGTTCTCCTTTGTTCTTCCCCGATGTTCATGACTTTGCATTTGGCGGGATTAAATTCAAGGAGCCAGCTGCACTGCTTATCTTGATAAGACGGAGTCTATTCCGTGCACGAACAACCTGCTGGAAAAGCTGTCATATTATCAATAATTTTATTTTCTCAGATTCATCATAATATTCTTTCTCTCGTCGATATCTCACTCTATAATGTCACTTGTTTTTTGTAATCATTACAGTATCTTTCCTATATACCTTTAACAACTCTTCACTTTGAACTTTCCTGATATCATTGCCTCCTACACTCATTGTTTCCACTACCGTAGAGAATATACTTCATTTTGCTCATAAAATTATTTCTGCACCAAGAAACTATACTCTCATCGATCTATAATCTTTACCTACGAGTCTCCATCAGGAAAACTTTTACACAGTTTTTCTCTGATATTCTTACTGACATCTTTATTCTCTGCAAAATTAGCTGACTTGAACTGGTTTCTATTTAATAACTTCAGAATGCCTCTTTTACACGGCTTCCAACATTAAACACTGATACATTTAAGACAGAAGAAAGGTCACTGTAGGTTTAAGCTATATAGCTGCTAATTTGTAAATTTACTAATATAATTACAGAAGAGAAAACTGGGGGTTTCCACTTTTTCTGATTGGCTCCTGACTTCCAAGGTTTGTGTGTTTTGTACAAATGACAAATCACATTGTCAATTTTATGAAACAAATTACGTATTGGTTTCAGAACGCTTACTTAAGAATGACTTTTTGTATTAGTTTCAAAATTCCATCGTTGTTGTGTGCTGTTATTTAATGACTTAAAAAAATAACTAGAAAAGTTTCGTTAATATGGGCTATTTGTTTCTGGGACGTGAACGGAAGATGGTCAGTTATTAAGGAAATTTTTATGGGAATCGCCCGACAAAACTCGAGTGTTTTCTCTCGCAAATTTTTATTTTTTGAGCTCATAAGCTTCTGGAGGTGTTGATTGATAGCTCATCTACTTATTGCATATGTTGATCCACAGTTCCTTTTTATTTTTAGTGTGTTAAGGTAGGGGCAGTCAGTTTCTTGTGTAGTCATACACAAGGAGCCCGAAACTGTTTATCTCCAGCTCCTGGACAAATTGAGAGGATTGAAATATAGATCCTAGGTCTTTTGAGGGATTCGAACTACCGCTGCAAGCGTGTTGAGGGTTTTGAGATAGAGGTATTAGGCTTCTTTATCTGATAGCTTGCAGGAGCTGAGGTTAAGAGATACATATAGGTTAGGTACAAGTCGTCAGGAAACAGGACAATTGTTTCCTGACGCCGATCTTAGTCGTATGATGACCCGCCACTGGGGCTTTTAGTCTTCTGGCCAAGGCCTTCCACTAGCTTACCAGTCCACCACTTTAAAAAAAAATATAATATTTGATATATACTCTCTCTCCGATAGCGCACCGGCCGAAGGAAGACTGCAACATTACATACTAACTGTTTACCTGGAGTTTACCTGGAGAGAGTTCCGGGGGTCAACGCCCCCGCGGCCCGGTCTGTGACCAGGCCTCCTGGTAGATCAGAGCCTGATCAACCAGGCTGTTACTGCTGGCTGCACGCAAACCAACGTACGAGCCACAGCCCGGCTGATCAGGAACCGACTTTAGGTGCTTGTCCAGTGCCAGCTTGAAGACTGCCAGGGGTCTGTTGGTAATCCCCCTTATGTATGCTGGGAGTCAGTTGAACAGTCTCGGGCCCCTGACACTTATTGTATGGTCTCTTAACGTGCTAGTGACACCCCTGCTTTTCATTGGGGGGATGTTGCATCGTCTGCCAAGTCTTTTGCTTTCGTAGTGAGAGATTTTCGTGTGCAAGTTCGGTACTAGTCCCTCTAGGATTTTCCAGGTGTATATAATCATGTATCTCTCCCGCCTGCGTTCCAGGGAATACAGTTTTAGGAACCTCAAGCGCTCCCAGTAATTGAGGTGTTTTATCTCCGTTATGCGCGCCGTGAAGGTTCTCTGTACATTTCCTAGGTCAGCAATTTCACCTGCCTTGAAAGGTGCTGTTAGTGTGCAGCAATATTCCAGCCTAGATAGAACAAGTGACCTGAAGAGTGTCATCATAGGCTTGGCCTCCCTAATTTTGAAGGTTCTCATTATCCATCCTGTCATTTTTCTAGCAGATGCGATTGATACAATGTTATGGTCCTTGAAGGTGAGATCCTCCGACATGATCACTCCCAGGTCTTTGACGTTGGTGTTTCGCTCTATTTTGTGGCCAGAATTTGTTTTGTACTCTGATGAAGATTTAATTTCCTCGTGTTTACCATATCTGAGTAATTGAAATTTCTCATCGTTGAACTTCATATTGTTTTCTGCAGCCCACTGAAAGATTTGGTTGATGTCCGCCTGGAGCCTTGCAGTGTCTGCAATGGAAGACACTGTCATGCAGATTCGGGTGTCATCTGCAAAGAAAGACACGGTGCTGTGGCTGACATCCTTGTCTATGTCGGATATGAGGATGAGGAAGAAGATGGGAGCGAGTACTGTGCCTTGTGGAACAGAGCTTTTCACCGAAGCTGCCTCGGACTTTACTCTGTTGACGGCTACTCTCTGTGTTCTGTTAGTGAGGAAATTATAGATCCATCGACCGACTTTTCCTGTTGTCGTAGTGATCCAATAGTTGAGACAGACAGGAGCGACCTGTTCTAAACCCATGTTGCCCTGGGTTGTGTAACTGATGGGTTTCTAGATGGGTGGTGATCTTGCTTCTTAGGACCCTTTCAAAGATTTTTATGATACGGGATGTTAGTGCTATCGGTCTGTAGTTCTTTGCTGTTGCTTTACTGCCCCCTTTGTGGAGTGGGGCTATGTCTGTTGTTTTTAGTAACTGTGGGACGACCCCCGTGTCCATGCTCCCTCTCCTTAGAATGGAAAAGGCTCGTGATAGGGGCTTCTTGCAGTTCTTGATGAACACGGAGTTCCATGAGTCTGGCCCTGGGGCAGAGTGCATGGGCGTGTCATTTATCGCCTGTACGAAGTCATTTGGCGTCAGGATAACATCGGATAGGCTTGTGTTAACCAAATTCTGTGGCTCTTTCATAAAAAATTCATTTTGATCTTCGACTCTCAGTCTGGTTAACGGCTTGCTAAAAACTGAGTCATATTGGGACTTGAGTAGCTCACTCATTTCTTTGCTGTCATCTGTGTAGGACCCATCTTGCTTAAGTAGGGGCCCAATACTGGACGTTGTTCTCGACTTTGATTTGGCATAGAAGAAGAAATACTTTGGGTTTCTTTCGATTTCATTTATGGCTTTTAATTCTTCCCGCGATTCCTGACTCCTATAAGATTCCTTTAGCTTAAGTTCGATGCTTGCTATTTCTCTGACCGGTGTCTCCCTACGCATTTCAGATATATTGACCTCTTTTAGCCGCTCTGTTATTCTTTTCCGTCGCCTGTAAAGGGAGCGCCTGTCTCTTTCTATTTTACATCTACTCCTCCTTTTTCTTAGAGGAATAAGCCTTGTGCATACATCGAGTGCCACCAAGTTAATCTATTCTAGGCATAAGTTGGGGTCTGTGTTGCTTAGTATATCTTCCCAGCTTATATCGGTTAGGACTTGGTTTACTTGGTCCCACTTTGTTTTTGTTATTGAAGTTGAATTTGGTGAATGCTCCCTCGTGACTAGTCTCATTATGTCGGTCTTAGGCTCCACGCATACATGTCTGAACCTCAACTATGTTGTGTTCTGAGTATATTGTTTTTGATATGGTGACATTTCTTATCAGATCATCATTGTTAGTGAAGATGAGGTCTAGTGTATTCTCCAGTCTAGTAGGCTCTATTATTTGCTGGTTTAAATTGAATTTTGTGCAGAGATTAAAAGCTCGTGTGAGTGTGAGTTTGAGTTTTCATCAGAGTTGCCTCCTGGTGTTATTACTGCAACAATATTATTTGCTATATTCCTCCATTTTAGGTGCCTTAAGTTGAAATCCCCCAGGATATTATTATTATTATTATTATTATTAAGGGGAATTGCAAAACTCTTAGGAGTCATAAAGAGCTTTGGAAATAGCAGGTAATCAGTTTTCATCCAAGGTATAAGGTATCAGTCCCAATTCTTGGAATGGGTAGGTCGTTCACTAGCATTAAGGACGGGAGTTCATGAATGATTCTCTTCATACCTGGAGTTTACCTGGAGAGAGTTCCGGGGGTCAACGCCCCCGCGGCCCGGTCTGCGACCAGGGCTCATAAGAGAGCACCTACACATTTTTCCACTTTTTCCTTCAGTAGTTATTTAATGCATATCGTGTCTCACTTAATTTTCAACACCATTCAATGCTTACTCTGACCTCTTCTCTAACCTCTCCGAAAGACTTATCTCTAATGCAGTTATTTGTATCGATAATAAATTCCTCTGTTTTATCATTATATGTTGAATGAATAAACATTTGAGGTCACTTCCAAGTGTCTTAATGATTTCGTTTGCATTTTCAACAATATAATTAAATACATAAGCTTAATTTGGCATTATATATTTCAGCTCTTCGTGATGGTGCCTCAGAATATGTCAGAACCACCAGCAGGACACCCTCACTGACACGGCAGTGTGTCAGAACCATCACTGACACGGCAGTGTGTCAGAACCATCACTGACACGGCAGTGTGTCAGAACCATCACTGACACGGCAGTGTGTCAGAACCATCACTGACACGGCAGTGTGTCAGAACCATCACTGACACGGCAGTGTGTCAGAACCATCACTGACACGGCAGTGTGTCAGAACCATCACTGACACGGCAGTGTGTCAGAACCATCACTGACACGACAGTGTGTCAGAACCATCACTGACACGACAGTGTGTCAGAACCATCATTGACACGACAGTGTGTCAGAACCATCACTGACACGACAGTGTGTCAGAACCATCATTGATACGACAGTGTGTCAGAACCATCATTGACACGACATTGTCAGAACTACCATTAAGGCAGTGTGTCAACCACGAGCAATACATTATCACTGCCATAACAGTGTAGCAGGGTGCCAAAACCTTGATACAAGATGTGTTCTGCAAGTGATACAAACCTCTCTATCCCTGCTCTAGGCCGGCCTTTCCGTCCTGGGATGCTTTACGACTGCAGGAACGACCAATTAATCCAGGGAGTATGTCCATGGGGCACAACAACACTGGAAGAAAGAACTATTCAAAAACTTGCAACCACTGATTCTCGCATAATTGCTTCCGACTCTCTGGAAGACAAAGCCTCTGCTCTTGATATTAATGCTAACCTGAAGCTGAGTTTCCTCGGAGATCTGTTTCATGTATCGGGATCAGGAAAATACCTACACAACGAGAAGACTTCCAGTAAACAGGAGAGAGTCACTCTGCAGTACAAATGTAGCATCAGGTCTGAGGCGATGACGATGGATCAACTTGGCAAGGGTAAAGTGCAGCATCCAGATGTATTTGATAATGGAATTGCAACGCACGTCGTCACTGCAGTAGAGTATGGAGCACAAGCTTTCTTTATTTTTGATAGAGAGTGTTCCTCATTTTCAAGTGACAAGAAAAGTTTTGGAGAATTGCAAGGTATGGCGAAATTAATAAAAAAATTTCAAATAGATGGTAAAGGACAAATGGATATTTCTGAAAATGAAAAGAAATACGCTGAAAATTTTACTTGCACATTCATTGGAGATTTTCAGCTCCAAGAAAACCCTTGCACCTTCGAAGATGCCATTCGAGTCTACAAGAACTTACCAAAGCTCTTAGGGAAGGAAGGACAAAATGCTGTACCAGTTAAAGTCACACTGTATCCTTTAGCACTTCTGGATAGTAAAGCCAGTAAATTCGTGCGTGGTATTAGTACAAACTTGACCAATGAGACAGAAAAAGTTTTTGAAAATCTCCATGAGCTTACTATTAGGTGCAACGATTTAAATAATTTTTCTGTTGCAGTAAAAATTAATATTATCCAAAAGGAAATATGTCACTTTAAATCAATGATCAACATTTACAAGCAAGAGTTCCAAAACCAGTTGGCAAAGTTACTACCCAGCATCAAAGGTGGAGGAGCTGAAGAATCACAACTGGCAGATCTTCTGAAGAAGAAAAAGGCATCTCCATTCAATTACCTGAACCTTCACACTTGGCTCCAAGATAAAAAAAAACTTATAAAAATTCTCAATGGATATATCAACATGCTATCAGAGATCATGTTTGCCTCAGAACCTGGTGATTTGGAGGTAATGATGATGCAGCCAGATATTAACTACGTACTCTGCCTTCAAATTCTTATCCCACAAAACAACTCTCAGCTTCTAAAAATGGAAATGTATAATAAAAATGAATATGACCCTGAAAGTGACAAAAGCACTGAGGGAAACTTTGAGGGCACTCTAAAAAGAAATTACGAGGATGGAAAAATGTCTATTTTAGAGAAAATCTCACTATTTAGAGACTTCTTTCTATCCAACAAAGAAAACAAAGGAACTTCCTTTGCAGTGACAGTGAACTATTCTGACACATTAGATTATCAGGCTCATGTTCAGTGTTTTAAGCAGGGCTGTAATATAAATAATAATTATGAAATTCCTTCAGCACCTACCATGCCTGAAGCTGACAGTACTGAAAGTACTCATAATAGTTTTACCATTGCTTGGATACCACCACAATATGGCTCTTCAAGTGTGCAAAATTATGAAATACTTTATCAACAAGCGAGTACAGACCATTCCCCTGTAAGCTCGAAGGTTAAGACAGATTCACACACTCTTAGCTATACTGTTCCCAACCTTGAGGCTAACTGTGGCTACCAGGTGAGAGTACGGAGCCTTTGTGTAGTGGGAGTAGGTCCCGCCAGTGAGACAATAAAAGTAGACACCAGACCATCCAGTCCTCCAGGGAAGCCTCAGGCGTGGCAAACTTCAGTAACAACTTTAGAAATACAATGGTCAAAACCACCATATATTGACCCACACTGTAGTATACAAAAGTATGTAATTAGGCAGCAAGAGAAAGGGACAGACTTATGGGTTACAACGGGAATCACGAAGACAGATGAAGTTACCTATGAAACACATGTTGTACCGAACACTGTTCTTAGGTTCGCGGTGGCTGCTGATTGTGGTGTTGCATTATGGAGTGTGGACAGTGATCCCAGTGATTACATTTGTGTAAAAGCTGATCAAAAGGCTATAATTGATAGTAAAAGAAATAAAAGGAAACAAGAATTATATCATGCATCAAACCTTGTTGATAAAGGTCCACCTTCCATTTATATGCTCAAAACAAAATTGGTTGTTTCTAAAGATCAAGATCTGATAAAGTATGAACTAACAACAAAACAGAATACAGGTGCTGAGGAAAAGGTAATCTTACTAGTCGGAGCAACAGGATCAGGAAAAACAACTTTGATCAATGGCATCATTAACTACATCTTTGATGTCAACTGGAAAGATGATTTCAGATTCAAATTAATATCAGAAGACAGAAGCAACGATCAAGCGAAAAGTCAGACTAAACACATTACATCTTATACTATTCATCATCAAGACAGCTTTGATTACCCTTACACACTGACCATCATTGACACACCAGGATTCGGCGACACCTCGGGAGTGAAGCGAGACAAGGAGATCACCAGCCAGATACACAGGTTCTTCACTACCCAGGGTCCAGGAGGTATTGACCATATTGATGCAGTTGGTTTTGTGATTCAGTCCTCACTACCGAGACTAACGCCAACCCAGACTTACATTTTTGACCAGATTCTCTCCTTATTTGGCAAGGATATCGAGGATAACATTTTTCTTTTACTCACTTTTGCTGATAGACAAAAACCACAGGTTCTTAGTGGAATAACAGCAGCTGGTATACCATACAGAAAATATTTCAAGTTTAACAACTCTGCTTTATTTGCTAAACGTACTAAGGATGCTAGAAGCACTGCCACTAAAGATGAGAGTGACGAAGACGAAGCAATAAGTAATTTTGATGAAATGTTTTGGAACATGGGAGCAAATAGTTTCAAAGTGTTTTTGAAGAAATTGAATGAAGTTGATAGCAGAAGCCTCTGTCTGACTCAGGATGTCCTCCTTGAAAGAGCTAAGTTACAAAACTACATCAGAGAGATTCGGATACAGATCCAAGCTGGTCTCAGCACTCTTGAAACATTAAAAAAAGAAGCAGAAATAGTAAAATCCCACCAAGCTGATATAGACAAAAATAAAAACTTTATTTATACAGTAAACGAGGAAATATATAAGCAAGTTCCAGTTCCACCCGGCCAATATATAACAAATTGCCAAAAGTGCAACCGAACCTGCCATGAAAAATGCAAAATTGCTGATGATGAGAAACATCGTTGCTGGGCAATAACTGACGGAAAGTGTCGTATCTGCCCAGACAAGAACTTCCCATACAAGTATGTTCTTGTGGTGGTACAAAAGATCAAGACTGTTGACGAACTGAGAGCGCGCTATGAGAAAGCCACACAAGAGAAACTGACAGCAGAGAAACTTATTTCTAAAATTAATGCTCATTTCAAAGAAGTGCAGCAGGAAGTTCTGGAAATGACAAAGTCAGTGAAAAAATCACTAGAACGCTTGCAGGAAATTGCGCTGAGGCCAAACCCTTTGTCAACGGTAGAATACATTGACATCATGATAGAAACAGAGAAGTCACAAGCACAACAGGGATGGATGGCGCGGGTCGAGCAACTCAGAGAAATCAGAAAAGAGGCAGAATGCATCCAAAATATTGCTATCAACAGATTTAATCCATTTGGGATGAAACTAAACCCAAAGATCAAAGTAAAGCCAGCGACGAGAGTAAACCTAGCGACGAGAGTAAACCCAGCGACGAGATTAAACCTAGAGAAGATAGTAAACCTAGCGACGAGAGTAAACCCAGCGACGAGATTAAACCTAGAGAAGATAGTAAACCCATCGACGAGAGTAAACCCAGCGACGAGATTAAACCTAGAGAAGATAGTAAACCCAGCGACGAGAGTAAACCCAGCGACGAGATTAAACCTAGAGAAGATAGTAAACCCAGCGACGAGAGTAAACCCAGCGACGAGATTAAACCTAGAGAAGATAGTAAACCCAGAGACAAGAGTAAACCCAGCGACGAGATTAAACCTAGAGAAGATAGTAAACCCAGAGACAAGAGTAAACCCGGCGACGAGATTAGACCTAGAGAAGATATTAAACCCAGAGACGAGAGTAAACACTCAAGATCCGCTGGATGTTGCAATAGGATTTCTCTGTAATGTGAAGTAAGTGTTGTGATTTACTATGTGGTAATATATCTTTTTCTATACAGAAAAGAACATGGTTATACATGCTCATTTCATTTAATATCACTTTTTGAAATAATAGTCTAAACCTGTTGTAAAAATGTGTGTAATTTAAATAACATATCTGTAATTGTGTTTACATGATGGTAGGATGGCTGGTGTCTTTTCTGACTCATAAACATACAAGGTTTCAGGTACGTCTTGCTACTTCTACTTACACTTAGGTCACACTACACATGTACAAGCATGTATATACACACCCTCTTAGTTTTCTATTTTCTTACTAGTTCTTGTTATTTATTTCCTCTTATCGCCATAGGGAAGTGGAGCAGAATTACTCCTCCGTAAGCCATGCGTGTCGAAAGAGGCGACTAAAATGCTGGGAGCAAGTGGCTAGTAACCCCCTTCTCTTGTATACATTATCAAATTTAAAAAGAAAACGTAAGTTCGTTTTTAAGGTCACCCTACCTCGGTAGGATACGTCTATTTCGTTGAAAAAAAATTTAAATTGTATTTATGAATATCTTAAAAAATAACTTTTCTCAAAGAGAACAGACAGAACGTAAAATCACATTGTAGATTATTACATTCAAATCGAAGCTCTAAACCTGACGGAAATTACACAGAACCGGAAAACAGGAGGTAGTAAGGTTTAATCTTATAAAGGGGAGAAGAGCTTCAACTTCTTAGAACAAAATCCCGTCACCAGCATACCTGGAGTTTACCTGGAGAGAGTTCCGGGGGTCAACGCCCCCGCGGCCCGGTCTGTGACAAGGCCTCCTGGTGGATCAGAGCCTGATCAACCAGGCTGTTACTGCTGGCTGCACGCAAACCAACGTACGAGCCACAGCCCGGCTGATCAGGAACCGACTTTAGGTGCTTGTCCAGTGCCAGCTTGAAGACTGCCAGGGGTCTGTTGGTAATCCCCCTTATGTATGCTGGGAGGCAGTTGAACAGTCTCGGGCCCCTGACACTTATTGTATGGTCTCTTAACGTGCTAGTGACACCCCTGCTTTTCATTGGGGGGATGTTGCATCGTCTGCCAAGTCTTTTGCTTTCGTAGTGAGTGATTTTCGTGTGCAAGTTCGGTACTAGTCCCTCTAGGATTTTCCAGGTGTATATAATCAAAGGCAACTCTAAAAATAGCATGGAGTACGGAAAGGGAAGAAGAGAATTATAATATTCGGTGGATCATAATCCCAGCTGGTGTTCACTAGTGTGGTTCATAATCCCAGCTGGTGTTCACTTGTGTGATTCATAATCCCAGCTGTTCACTTGTGTGGTTCATAATCCCAGCTGGTGTTCACTTGTGTGATTCATAATCCCAGCTGGTGTTGTGTGGTTCATAATCCCAGCTGGTGTTCACTTGTGTGGCTCATAATCCCAGCTTGTGTTCACCTGCGTGGATCATAATCCCAGCTGGTGATGTGTGGCTCATAATCCCAGCTGTTCACTTGTGTGGTTCATAATCCCATCTGGTGTTCACCTGTGTGGTTCATAATCCCAGCTGGTGTTCACTTGTGTGGCTCATAATCCCAGCTGGTGTTCACTTGTGTGGTTCATAATCCCAGCTTCTGTTGTGTGGTTCATAATCCCAGCTGGTGTTGTGTGGTTCATAATCCCAGCTGGCGTTCACTTGTGTGGTTCATAATCCCAGCTGGTGTTCACTTGTGTGGTTCATAATCCCAGCTGGCGTTCACTTGTGTGGTTCATAATCCCAGCTGTTCACTTGTGTGGTTCATAATCCCAGCTGGTGTTCACCTGTGTGGATCATAATCCCAGCTGGTGTTCACTTGTGTGGATCATAATCCCAGCTGGTGTTGTGTGGTTCATAATGCCAGCTGGTGTTCACTTGTGGGGTTCATAATCCCAGCTGTTAACTTGTGTGATTCATAATCCCAGCCGGTGTTGTGTGGTTCATAATCCCAGCTGGTGTTGTGTGGTTCATAATCCCAGCTGGTGTTCACTTGTGTGATTCATAATCCCAGCTGGTGTTCACTTGTGTGGTTCTTAATCCCAGCTGGTGTTCACTTGTGTGGTTCATAATCCCAGCTGGTGTTCACTTGTGTGGTTCATAATCCCATCTGGTGTTCACCTGTGTGGTTCATAATCCCAGCTGGTGTTCACTTGTGTGGATCATAATCTCAGCTGATGTTGTGTGGTTCATAATCCTAGCTGGTTTTCACTTGTGTGGTTCATAATCCCAGCTGGTTTTCACTTGTGTGGTTCATAACCCCAGCTGGTGTTCACTTGTGTTGTTCATAATCCCAGCTGATGTTGTGTGGTTCATAATCCTAGCTGGTTTTCACTTGTGTGGTTCATAATCCCAGCTGGTTTTCACTTGTGTGGTTCATAATCCCAGCTGGTTTTCACTTGTGTGGTTCATAATCCCAGCTGGTTTTCACTTGTGTGGTTCATAATCCCAGCTGGTTTTCACTTGTGTGGTTCATAATCCCAGCTGGTTTTCACTTGTGTGGTTCATAATCCCAGCTGGTTTTCACTTGTGTGGATCATAATCCCAGCTGGTGTTGTGTGATTCATAATCTCAGCTGGTGCTCACTTGTGTGGATCATAATCCCAGCTGGTGTTTACTTGTGTGGTTCATAATCCCAGCTGTTTATTGTGTGGACCATAATCCCAGCTGGTGCTCACTTGTGTGGATCATAATCCCAGCTGGTGCTCACTTGTGTGGATCATAATCCCAGCTGGTGCTCACTTGTGTGGATCATAATCCCAGCTGGTGCTCACTTGTGTGGACCATAATCCCAGCTGGTGTTCACTTGTGTGGATCATAATCCCAGCTGGTGCTCACTTGTGTGGATCATAATCCCAGCTGGTGCTCACTTGTGTGGATCATAATCCCAGCTGGTGCTCACTTGTGTGGATCATAATCCCAGCTGGTGCTCACTTGTGTGGATCATAATCCCAGCTGGTGCTCACTTGTGTGGACCATAATCCCAGCTGGTGTTCACTTGTGTGGATCATAATCCAGCTGGTGCTCACTTGTGTGGATCATAATCCCAGTTGGTGCTCACTTGTGTGGATCATAATCCCAGCTGGTGTTCACTTGTGTGGATCATAATCCCAGCTGGTGTTCACTTGTGTGGATCATAATCCCAGCTGGTGCTCACTTGTGTGGATCATAATCCCAGCTGGTGCTCACTTGTGTGGATCATAATCCCAGCTGGTGCTCACTTACACGCTGCACTTTTTATTTCCCAAAATTCAGTGTCATATTTTTTTCCTGTGATGAACAGACCAGCAGCTGTTCAACTTAACAGTTTAAAACAGCAATGGCTTGGGACACCGCAGCAAGCAGGTAGATATAGCTATATTTTTTAAGCTGAAGGACTTGTAGAGCGAGCTCTTCGTTTTGATAATAATTAAAAGCTGAAGAGAGCCATTAAGATAAATTTATGGATGAATTAGACATATGTGCAACATTCCGATGTGGTCACATCGACTCAAGGCTGAGGGACTAATTACCTCAAACTACTCCTGTTCTTCACCATTCTCATTTGTATGGACTGATGAAGACTGTCTGGCGAAACGTTTCCTCATTAAAGATACCAAAGTGTTGCACATGTGTCTAATTTATCAACCTGTTGGTTCTCCGAACCATTCATCTATATGCGCATCAGTCGTCTTCAGTTAAATAGAGAGAGGATTAATATACTGAAAGAAGTCATCTTGAGGTGTTCAGTTCCTCAGTCTAGATGGAAGGAACGTGCTCAGTTCCTCAGTCTAGATGGAAGGAACGTGCTCAGTTCCTCAGTCTAGATGGAAGGAAGGTGCTCAGTTCCTCAGTCTAGATGGAAGGAAGGTGCTCAGTTCCTCAGTCTAGATGGAAGGAAGGTGTTCAGTTCCTCAGTCTAGATGGAAGGAACGTGCTCAGTTCCTCAGTCTAGATGGAAGGAAGGTGTTCAGTTCCTCAGTCTAGATGGAAGGAAGGTGCTCAGTTCCTCAGTCTAGATGGAAGGAAGGTGTTCAGTTCCTCAGTCTAGATGGAAGGAAGGTGCTCAGTTCCTCAGTCTAGATGGAAGGAAGGTGCTCAGTTCCTCAGTCTAGATGGAAGGAAGGTGCTCAGTTCCTCAGTCTAGATGGAAGGAAGGTGTTCAGTTCCTCAGTCTAGATGGAAGGAAGGTGTTCAGTTCCTCAGTCTAGATGGAAGGAAGGTGTTCAGTTCCTCAGTCTAGATGGAAGGAAGGTGTTCAGTTCCTCAGTCTAGATGGAAGGAAGGTGTTCGGTTCCACAGATAAACATCTTCCATTTAGGCTGAGGAACTGAACGTCTCAGGATGACTTCTCCACTTCAGTCAAAAGTGAGAGACTGAACCCCTGAGATCTCCTCCTCTATAACTGTCACTTTCAAGACTGAGGGACTGAACACCAAAAAGCTTCCACTTCTTCGACCATCTTCAGCCTGTATTACAGGCAATATACATAAATGACGCACATGGATCTTCATCATCATCTTGTCGGTACAATATTACATTATAGTAAACTCATTGAACAAAACAAAAATTGCGGATTGCACAGCCTCTATCCTTACTTATATTGACAAAATTATTGCATGCATGCATGCATAATAATAATAAATATATATACGTACATGTGTGTGTGTGTGTGTGTGTGTGTGTGTGTGTGTGTGTGTGTGTGTGTGTGTGTGTGTGTGTGTGTGTGTGTGTGTGTGTGTGTGTGTGCGTGCGTGTGCGTGTGCGCGCGCGCGCAATAAGTAAAACTGATCAGGAACGCTAGAATATCTGATACACGGAAGGAAGCGCTGACGAGGGAAGTGGAAACTATCGAACTTAAGTTAAATGACTCTTACAGGAACCAGGAGAGACAGCAGCAGCTTAAAGCTATTAGTGAAAATGAAAGAGAGTCGAAATATTTCATATGCCAAAAACACGACAAATACCACATCTAGTATCGGGCCCTTACTCAGACAGGATGGGACTTACACAGATGACAACAAGG